CTGAGAAAAACGTGGGCGCCGCTTCAGTTGGCCGTTTCCTTACTGCACCCTTCTCCCTCTCACACGGGGAGATCCTTTGGAAGTCTGGGGCCTGGGCAGCGGAGTCCTGCTTGCACCCCAGCCCCAGCTCCTCAGCCAGGGCTCCTCTGCCGGGGCGCTCCAAGGAGCAGGCTTGGAATGGAAGGCGCCCACAAACACCCTCGTTCTCTCAGGCCCCAACTCGGGTGCCTCGGCCTGTATGTGACTTCTGGGGAGAGGGTCCCCGGCTTTCAGCAGAACCCAAAGAGTCTGTGAATCTTCTCCAAAGTCCACATCTGGACTCTCCGCCACCCCCCGCTCCCTTCACCTTGAACAGCCGATCTCACTCACTTATAAATAGAAACCCTCTCTGGACATGTATCCAGAGTGACAGGACGGGCCCGTGACAGGCGGAGCAGCGAGCAGAGTCATCGCCTGCCCTGTCCTCTCCTGGCCTGAAAGGCCACTGTCTCTGGACCCTCCCTTGCTCCCCTCTGTTGCCCAGGAGACCACGGGGCCGCATGCCCTTCCCCTACTTTCACACATGGTTGCCTCTTTTCTGGACTATGAGGCGAGCCCCTGTCCAGAGCAACCCACAGCCCAGAAGGGGATGGTGAGGAAGCTCCTGTGTCTGAGACCTCCGCCTGGCACCCCCCTCCGCGCCCGCCTCCTGGAGCGGCCTTGCCCCAGCGCAGACCCAGGCACAGACAGGTCCTGGGAGACAACCTCTCTTCTGAGCTCCAGCCACCTGCTGGGTAGATACCGGGGTGTTCAATGGGCACCTCCTATGCATCGTCCTCCAGCCCAAATCTGCTCAAGCGCCAGTGCACCGCTCCAAGCAGCCATCCGGGTGCTGTCCTCTCCCAAATATCCGACCGACGCTGAGTCCTGCAGATGCAGCCACCCGCCAGCTCTCCTAGCCCTGTCCTCCCATCTCCAGGGACAGAGATGTATGAACTGCCCGGACCACGGCAGCAGCCCTCTTGTCAGCCTCCTGTCTCCCCTCCCTCCCGTCCCCACAAGGCTTCCGTGAACACAAACCTGCTCACATTACTGACCTGCCTCAAACTTTTGTTGGAAACCTATCATCTTCAGAATAAATCCCAAGCTCCCTCTCTGCCCCTCAAGACCTGGCCTTCAATTTCTTCCATACCCATCTCGTATCATTTGCCCATCTCAGTCCCTGCCCAGTGCTTTGAACTCCTTCCTTATAAGACACTCCATTTTGGTGCCTGGTATCTCCGGCCCTTGCCCACACTGTGCCCTCTCCTCCCCCTTCACCACCATGCCCCACTCTTTCTCCAAACTCAGCTCCAAGGTCATGTCCTACATGGAGCCCTCCCTGAATCCTTTTCCCAGTCTGGGTCACGGGTTGCGCCTCTGTGCCTCCCTCTCCGAGCTCGTGCTAATCAAGCAAATGTGACTGTTTGCTCGTTGGTGACCTCTTTGAGAGGAAGGATGAAGTGCCGGTGGTGTGCTGGAGCCACCTCCCACCAGCTCAGGAGAAGCAGCTCCGCACGATGGCAGCTTAAAATTGGCCTCGGTGGGAGCATTTACACCATGGCAATTGGCACATGCTACAGCACTGCAAATCAGAACTTCTTTTTCTTTCTCTATTTTAAGGGCTGATGGTTAAACATTTACCAGTTGGCCACTGCTTAGGCCCAACTTTGACACACAAAACATGTGTGTGCAATGGATGGACGCATGGGAAATTCACAGTAAGTTCCTTGCTCCACGTACTGCCCCCTAGTGGATGGGGCACCCATACGCTCACTCCCCATCTCCTCAGTGTCCTGTCCTTCTCGTCCTCACCAGTCCCCCCTGGGCACACCAGTCCTGTCAGTCCTCCACCAGCGGGTGGGCTAAGGGGTTGAGGGAGGAGGGCAGTGTGGACAGCATGGGCCTCCCTTGGGTAGGGTAAGGTAAGACAACATGGGTTCTTCCTCAGTCAGGATGTTGGTGGAGAGAGAGGCAGAAGAGGCCTCGCCATCCCCGGCAGGAACGCCGAATGATGGGCAAGTAGGTGCTAGTGGAGAGGACAGGCCTGGGAGGGCAGCGGCACCTGGGAGGGTAGAGGGCTGGCTCCTCCCTCAGGGAGGCACAGCAACACCCCCTGTGGCGCCCCCCGGGCTGATCGATACCAGGATTGACGGGCACAATCACCTCATTACATGCTCTGCAGGGGAACCACGAGCCTGTGTCAGCATCTGCTGCCGCTCTCCCTGCTCAGCCTCTCTCCTTCCCTCTGCCAGGCTCCCTCCGAGCCCGTCTCCCGCCCCTGCCCTGTCTGCCCTGGTCTGTCATCTGTTTCTGGGTCTTGGCCCCTGTCTTTGGCTCCCTCTCCGTATCTCTCTGTCTCTGTCCCATGTCTCTAGTACTCCCTCTGCTTCTGTCTCCGACCCCCGAGACTCTATCCCCCTTTACAACTCCGTCCCTCTAGTCTCTGTCTTCCTATCTTATATTCGCCTCTCCCCCCGGGCTTCCTCTCTTCCTCCGTGCCCCCGTCTCTCCATCTCGGTCTCCCCCTTTCTCAGTGTCTCTTCCGCTGTGTTTCCATCTAGACCTTTGTCTCTCTGCGTGTCTCCGTCTCCCCCCTGTGTCTCTGTCTCTCGGCCCCCACGTCCTCCTCACTTCCCTCCCTGCCCCCCAGCTCCCCCCGACCAGCCTGCTCAGGCTCCAGGGCCCAGATGGCGGGATGTTCACGCCGCAGCGAACACAGGGCCATGGCTGCTTCTGGGACTTGTCGCCACCCCCGGTCCCTAGGCCTGCCCGCCAGGCAGTCATCTGGCCAGCCTGCCGGGGACTCCCACTCACCCCCGTGGGGCTCACAGCAGCCAGGTCCTGGCACAGACCCCTCCCTGGAGCAGACACTGTGCCACCACCACGGGGGGACTCTCTGCCAGCGAGGGCTTGGGGGGCCATCCTCTGATTTCTTCAGGAACTTGGGCAAGGCGATACCGAGACACCCCTGACCGATCGCCGCTACCCTCTCCCCAAGGGGCTGTCCTTCTTGACGTCTGACCCAAAGCCCTCTTGCTGCGCCTTCCTCTGCCCTCCATCTCCGTGACTCAGCTTCTTCCGAGTGCAAAGCCTCCACCAGCAGCACCCGGCGGGGCAGAGACTGCCGGGCACGCTGCCCCCCCGGGAAAGCACGGAGGAGGAGGTGACCCCTTGTGGAGGAGGGAGACGGGGGGGAGGCTCAGGCGCCAGGAACTGGGGTAAAGAGAGGTCGGGAGCTGCCACCCCCTGGGGCCCAGCAGCAGAAGGTGCTGCCCCCACCCGCCTGGAATAGCGGCGCAGCTCTCCTCAGGAGGCTGGCGGAGCGGGCCAGTGCCCACACCACATGCCTCGGGCGCCCAGACGCTGCAACGCCCACCACGGTGGGTGCCACGCTGCCCTCCTGCTGGCACTGCAGCCGGTGTCCTTCCTGCCCCCTCTGCCTCTCTCCTCCGCAGGGAAGGGAGCCAGCAGAGCCGGCTGGGGAGGGGGGCACTGAGGCAAGTGGAAGGGGTGCCAAGGTGTGTGATGGTGGTGGTGGTGGTGGGGGTTGGTGGTTGGGCACACCTGGCTGCACAGGGTGGCTGGGGTAAGAGCTGAGTGCTCACAACACTCAGAGGTCAGTGGGGTGAGGGAGGTGGCTTCCAATCTCCTGAAAAGTGAGCACCTCATGCTTTCCCAGCCCAGCTTGGACCTATGCTCCCCAGCCACAGCCGAGACCCCTCCTTCCTCCCTCCCCTGTGGACGCAGGCAAGCCAGACCCAGATCCTGGCTCAGAGCTGCCTACTCCTTCCCACATATGCCCTGTCCACACCTCTGGCCCCTACACGCCCCTACCCACAAAGAGGGGGGCTGGGCAAGCACCTGGCCTTGGGGCCTCACCAGGGGCAGCCGGGTCCGGGTGACCCAGTTCCCTCCCTGAGCCCCGAAGGCGAGAAACATCCAGGAGAGAAGAGCGCGGCAGGGCCCGTGGACGGGGCACCCGCTGGCTGCCTCCTCCTCCTAGAAGAACCAGCCAAGGGGTGACCCGGAAGGCCCCCTGCGGGGAAGGACGGCTTTCTGGAAGGAACCGTGCCGGGGAGGCAGCCAGACCTGGTTGTGAGGCCCCCTGGTGCCTACTCCCACCCCCAGGAAGCGTGAGAGGTGGGGGCCCGGGGGCCCCGGGCCACTCCTTCTGCCCTTGCACAGCTCTGAGCGCGAGGGCAGCCTCCTCCCCTCAGCCCAGATTCCTCTGCGCGCAGCCGCCGCCCCACAGAACCAGCCTGCTCCCTCTTCCACACGACGGCCCTTCAGACATCTGAGGCAGCGCGCCTGCCCCGCTGAGCCTCCTTTTCTCCCGACCTCAGCATCCCGGTTCTTAGAATGACTCCTCAAACGCCACGGCTTCAAGTCCCCTCCCCACGCCGGGTCCTCTCAGCCACACAGCTCCCCGCCTCCCCACTTCCCCCTCACACACCAGCAAGGCTCCCGGGGCAGAGGCCAGGCCCCGGCGGCCTCGGCTCCATCCAGGGCGGCCGCCAGCCCTCTCCCCTTCCCCCCTCCCCACACAGCTCCCTTTCTGCTTCTAGTCCATCGTGATCCTAATTGTGAGTCCGGTGAAGGCTAGAGGGGGATCCCCCAACAGCTCCCCTCCCCCCGTCTCTTCTCCAAAGACCCAAATCTCCTCCAGTGCCTTGTGGCTCCGAAGAGGCCTCCTTGCCCACAGCTGATGCTCGTCACGCACTCACATCCTCCAGAGCCTGACTCCTCTGGGAAGCCGTCCCAGGGAGAACACGCCCGGCTCAGACCCTGCCCCTGTCCCCGCAACTCCCAGACTCAGACACGGCGTGACTTTCCCGGGTTTGCACCCTCCAACGCGTCCCCACGCGCTGCTGCGTCTCCCCCGCCCCCGCCTGCCACGAGGCAAGCAGCACGGAGAGGCGGCTGAGCACGGCAGGTGGGAGGGGAGGAAGGCAGAGGGGGCCATCGGGCCCTCGCCCTACCTGCTCGTGGTACTCGATGCCCATGCTGAGCGTGTTGACCAGGATGGCAATCATGATGCCCCGACCAAAGTACTTGCTGTCCACGATCTTCCGGAAGGTGTCACAGATGAGCCTCCAGAAGGCCAGCACGGAGCGGGGCTCCACGTCCAGCCCCAGGCTCCGGCGCCGCCGGCCCGGGGGGTCCCGGAGTTCGCCGTGCGGGGCGTCCGGTGTGAACTCGTACACCGCCTCGCTGTCCGAGTCGGGCATCTCGTGGCCGGCGAGCTCCGCCTCCCCGGGCCCCGCCCGGGCACAGTAGGGGCAGCTGTCGGGGCCGCAGGCTCCGCGGTCTGCCTTCAGGCAGGGGCTGGAGATCCTGCACGAGCTCTGGCAGGTGCCTGAGACAGGAGGGGAGAGGTTAGAGGCTCCAGGGTTTCTTAGTTGGGGTGGCCCTTCCCCCAGAGGGTGGATAAAATGAGCGGGGAGCACGGGTTTGTAATAATGATGGGGTGCTGGGCATTCAGGGGGCCAGGGGTGCTGAATGCCCTACAGTGTGAGCACATCTGAGCGACAGAATGCTCCCGAGTGCCAATAGCATCCTTCTGACAGTCACGGCAGGGTGCCCCCGGGCCAGGCAGGGGGCCTTGATGTCCTCTGAGGTCCTGGGAAGCTCTTATGTGAGGGCCTAGGAGCATTCAGCACGGAGCTTAGGTCATCTCTACGTCCCAGGGACGCCAGCCCCACCCCAACACTGCTCTGAGCAGTATGTTCCAAAGGATCTTAAGTCACACGCCCTCACGTGCGTGCTCATGTACACACCAGACACATGCACATGTGCACGATAGACACTCCATGTGCATAAACACACGTACTGTGTACACACACGCTATTTGCATCCCACACGTGCACAGCCAAACACGTGTGCACACAGACACACGCAAATCACACAATGCACATGTAACAGGCACGTGCACGCATGAGCATGCATACACACCAGACAGGAGCATTACTCCTGTGTGTGCACACATGCACCTACACAGTCAGATACGTATGCACACATACACACACGAACACCAGACACATGCACGCATACACACACACACACACACACCAGACTGCACATGCGCACACACAGTGACCTATCCTAAGACATAAATGTCAGTTTGAACCCAGCTATGACCATCACAGATGGGAGCTGAAAGGAGCCTGAGGAACCGCCCAGGGAAAGCAGGCACGCAGGCACCAGGCTAAGAGCCCAGCCCCTAGTAGGCAGCCAACACTGTTCCCCTTCCTCCCGCACACAGGAAGGTGTCCCTCAGCATCCACCGGCCGTGCGGGCCCCACCCTGCCTCCATAGAGCAGGGAGCTGAAATGTGCCAGCCCGTGTGCATGCAACTGCTCGCGTCACGTGGCGGGTAGTGGAAGCGTTGGCACCAGAGCCCTTCGCACTGCGTTCTGTGATCACACCTTCCCATCCCAGCCCACATTCCCACAAATACACCGCTTCTCCCACGTGCCACGTCCTTCCTGAAATACAGGCCCTCCCTGGCTGTGCTGCCAGGGAGTCTGTCTGCGAGAGGGCCCGCCACCGCCCCTGCCTGACGGGGGGACAGCCACAGGCAGCGAGCATCACACTCCTCCTGACAGCGGGTGCTCCTCTCATCAGCCCCGAGGGCTTGCTGCTCCAGCCCCTGCCTCCCCGTGGGGAGGGAATAAAACTCATGCCCAGGAGAGCACGGCACCGGCCACAGTCACACACCATTTCTCCTCCACGCCCGGCAACGAGGGGGTCTCAGCATAGAGCATGGGCCTCGGCGTCAGAGGGTCCTAAGTCCACCCCTCACTAACGGCACAACCTTGGGCCAGGACCTGCCACCTCTGCGAGCTGCCTTTTCCTCATCAGTAAAATGGGGTCAAAAAGCAAGCTTGTGGTTCACACTGGAGGAGCTGCCCTAGCCAGTTTGGCTAATTGGATAGAGCATCGGCCTGCGAACTGAGGGGTACCAGATTCGATTCCGGCCAAGGGCAAATGCCTGGGTTGCAGGCTCAATCCCCAATAGGGGGTGTGCAGGAGGCAGCCGATCAGTGATTCTCTCTCATCATTGATGTTTCTAACTCTCTATCCCTCTCCCTTCCTCTCTGAAATCAATAAAAATATATTAAAAAAATTAAAATAAAATAAACGGGAGGAGCCAACAGGATTTTGCCTGCAAGACAGGGGACAGGCATAGTAGCAATTGGCCAACAACCGTAGGTGTTATAGCAAACAGCGCAGAGCACGTAACAAGCAGGTGCTTATAACATAACAGTTATTGTGATTATTACAATGTGGGAACTATAATCCCCATTTTAGCAGGTGAGAAACGTAGGGCTCAAAGAAGTCACGTGACTGGTTGACGGTCCCAAGGCTGTGAGTGGCCGAATGGGGATCCGAGCCCAGTCCTTCTGACTCCAGACCCCCAGGCCCCCTGGGCCACCACCTGGCCCCGGGGCCCCTCACCTCCCTGTCTACTTCCTTCCCCCTTACCCAAGCCCAGAGAGAGCAGCAGGGTGGAAAGAACAGGCTTCCACATGCCCCCTCCTGCGTTCTCACCTGTGCTCTGCGTTTCTAGCAGCTTGTGCATGGAGCTGTAGCGCTCGGGTGGGATGTTGAGGCTGGTGAGGGCGGGGGGTCCAGAAGCGGGGGCCACCTCCACAAGCGCCCTCTCCTTCAGCATCTCTGGCGGGGGGCTGGCGTGCACAGTGGGGTACACCTTCCCGCTGCTCCCAGTCCTGCCCGAGGCCTCGGAGGGCGACCTGGGAGCGGGCGCCTGGCAGCGGACCGGCTCCAGGTGGCAGTCGGCGTGGTAGAAGCTGTGCACGGCCTCTGCACCCCGAGGGGGGCCCCCGGACAGGGCAGGCGTCGAGGGCGGTGGCAGCATGAGCCGGCGGGACCCGTTGGCATCCCGATCCTGGATCTCGGGGCTGGCCCGGGGGCCCCGCAGCGTCCCGTTCCCCAGGTGGTAGTGGTGGTGGTGGTGGTGGTGGTGGTGCACCAGGTGGTGGACGGACGGGCGGCGGCGATGGGAGCGGGAGCAGCTGCCGCTGGGCTGGGGCTCCTGGACCCCGAGGGGCGCTGGGCTGAGCAGCCCGGCCCGCACGCCTGCCGCCCGGGAGACCTGGGCCAGCCTGCGGGCTGCCTTCCGGAGGATGTACACCAGGTACTTGAGCAGCTCCTCGTAGCAGCTGCCGGGCTCCGAGAAGCTGGCCAGGGTGCTGGCGTTGGACAGGAACCGCACCCGCTGCTCCCGCATCAGCTGGCTCTCCCGCTGCTTCGTCTCGGAGAACTGCGTGGCGATCACCACCAGGCACAGGTTGATCATGAAGAAGGAGCCCACCTGTTGGGGTGGGGACAGCAAGAGGAGATGTCCTGAAGAGGAGGGAATCACAATGCCAGCCACCGAGTTCGGAGCGCTTCCTGCGGCCGGGTACTGGGCCCAGCCACTGTCCAAGCGCTATCTCCTTGTATCCTCTCGACAGTCTCAAGAGGTGATACGTCTGTTATCTTCATTGGACGGCGAGGAAACTGAGGCTCAGAGGGTCTGAGGAATCTGCCCAAGATCCTTCATCTCGTGCAGGGCACAGCTAAGGACGGGACCAGGCTCGCCGGGATGACAAGGCATGGCCGTGGGTCCCAGCTGCCCTGCAAGATGTCTCCCCAACTCCTGGCCCCTAAACGTGCCTGTGCACAGATTCTGGACACCCCTCCCCAGGCCCCATCAGGAGTAGAGAAACCTGGGGAAATAGAGCCAGTCTTGGGGACACAGGGTTTTCACACGGGATCAAGCCTTTGAGATGTTGGCAAAAACCTTGTTCACAAGACGCCTGCTTCCAAGTCCCAATGCTAGCTGTGTGGCCTTGAGTGAGAGGGTCTTAACCTTGGGTCCTCAGCGTGCTCATGCCCACTGGCTTTGCCTGTATCCCTTCTCCCCGGGCTTACCCCCTCGCCCTGACAGGTGATGGGCTGAGCCCTGAACCCTGCAGACTAGCCAAGCCGCCCCTCTGACTTGTCCACACTTCCCTGTCCCCATCCCCATGCCTCAGTTTCCCCGGAGTTTCTGGGACGACCATTGCTCGGACAATAATCCAGAAGGAAGGAAATGAATATTTATGGTGACAGCCGTTTTGTTTTTCTGAATTGTGTCCTGGTAATTATGATAATTAGCTTCACTAGTGAGTCCAGAGAGCTGTTTGGAAAGATTTCTCAGGGGGTGTGTGGGAGGGTGGAAACGGGGCCCCTCACCTCCCTGTCTACTTCCTTCCCCCTCACCCAAGCCCAGAGAGAACAGCAGGGTGGAAAGAACAGGCTTCCACAAGGCACGGATGGGAGACACCATCCCAGGTCCTGATGGGGGATGGGAACAGCCCCCCCACCACCACCACCTGGCCACTCTTTCGCACCAGGGACTGTTGCAGGGGCCGGAGGGGGCAGCCTGGAGGACTCGTCCTCTCAGGGCCTAGCCACCGCCTCTCACCGCCGTAGTCTGTCTCCACCTCTCTCTGAAGCTTGCCCTAAATCCTGTGTAGATTTTAATCTCTTTCTCTCACATCTGTCCCTCTGACGGCTCTGTCATTGGCCTCTTGGTGACCTGGGAAAAGGGATGGACTGGGAGTCCGCAGCCTGGGGTTGATTTCTCAGCTCCAGCCACTCAGCCTGGTGACCAGGCCCTCTGAAGCTCAGAGTTGTCATGCAGGCACTGGGGCCCCATTCTCTGAACCCCCTTCCCCAGGGACCAGGAAGACTCAACAGGCAGCGGCTGTTTCAGTACACAACAGCATCCATGCCCCACCCAGCGAGATTCATCCACGGCTCATAGCAGGCCCATGCTGAGGTCAGACCAAGGAGGACACACTGGTCTCCTCATCTGTTAAGTGGGAATAATAACAGGGTGCTGGTGAGAATGAAATGCACCAGCCCATCACAAGTGCTTAGAGCAGGGCCTGGAGCACAGGTCCATAATGCGGATTTTGTGCAGGGCGTACCGGTTAAGAATGCAAAACCTGCACTATGAACCGTTGTACCTTGTAAGTGCTCAGTAAATATTAGCTATGAAGAGTAGCAATTACATTGTTTAACGATGAGTGGCAGTGACTTAAATTTTAAACACTGCTACTTTTGCCTCTGTCCTCTGCCCTCATTAAGACTTGGTACTTCTGAGCTGGAAGGAACAGGAGATCATGCAGTGTTTCTTAATAGCAAGCGATGGGAATTTGGGGTAAAACAAACCATTTTGCAGAATGTTTACCACCTCCTGTCCGTTCCCCAAAACCAAGTGCCAATAAGTGCTCTGCCAACCAGGACCACCCTTTGCCACTTCCGGAGGCGGTATCACCCTGGGCTGAGAACTGCCCATTTTACACACACAGAGGTCCGGGGCGGGGCCGGGGGCCTGGTGGGAATGACTCGCCCTAACTTGTGAGTGGTGGTACGTGACAGAGTTCGGCCTTGACCTTGCATTTCCTCCCGAGTGCTCCTGACCGGTGCCCTCTCTGTCTGCGTCTCCGAGGGACCTGTCCTGAGAGCTCGAACTTGAGACCGAGCAAGCTTTCCCTCTCTCTGGACTCCCCCGACCCGTTTCCCTAGGATCCCCCATCCCCTTGGGGGCCTGAGGAATCACTCACGATGATGAGGAGGATGAAGTAGATGAAGTTGTAGAAGGAATGAGCATCCATCACAAAGTACATGATGTCGACCCAGCCCTCCAGCGTGATGACCTGGGGGGGTGGCAGAGGGGCAGGCTGACTCCAGGCCCCCGAAAGCCCCCTGAAGTCTCCCCTCCAGAGGCCCTGACCCCACCCCCACGCGGAGCAGGACGGTCCCCCCCCAGGCCGCCCCACCTGGAAGATGGCGATCCAGGCGTAGCCGATGTTGTCGAAGTTGATGGCGCCCTTGAAGGGGTTGTGCTCCCCGGCGGAGCAGTTGGTGTAGTACTGGTTCCAGTTGACGCAGGTGGTGTTGCTGGAGCTGTTGTAGGCCTCGTAGTCCAGGCCGCAGGGGGGGCCGCCGCCGCCCTCGCCGCGCAGGGTGGGCACGCTGCGGCAGGAGCGCATGCCGTTCTCCCGGGGCTGCGAGCAGATGAAGGGGTTCTCGTCCTCGTTCTCCGTCTGGTAGTAGGGCTCCAGGTCCACGCTCAGGGGGCTGAGGAGGGGAACGGGGTGAGGCTGGGGGCGGGTTCTGCAGGGAGAACTGCACGTGTGTGCACCGAGGCCTGCGGGGTGAGCGGGGCAAGGACCAGAGCCGGGGCAAGCTCCGGGCCGGAGTGGGGATCGGCGTGGGGATCGGTGAGTGTGGACAGGGAGTGTGAGGACTGAGCCGGAAACTCCAGGGTCGAGGTCTTGGGAGGTTTGTCCCACGAGGCTGCCTCTCAGGCTCACCGAGGAGCTTATAAAACTCCCGAGGCCCAGGCTGACCCCCAGAACAATAAAATCAGGATCTGTGGGGGTGGGACCCAGGCCTCAAGAATTTCTTAAAAGCTCCCCGTGGGACTCTAATGTGGGAGTCTGAGAACCAGACGTGTCTCGGGTATGAGAGCAGGTATGTCAACAGCAACGGGGACGGAGGGCGGCCCCAGCCCCGCACACCGCCCCCAGGTCACCCCTCGCCCCGGGACACTCACAGGCTGAAGTTCTCCGGCAGGAAGCAGCGGTTGCGGAGCAGCCCCGCCCACAGCTGGACGCCCACGATGCCGAAGATGAAGAAGACGAAGAAGCAGAGCAGCAGGACGTTGCCCAGCATGGGCAGCGTGTCCAGCAGCAGCGTGACAAGGATGCGCATGCCTGTGGGGGGCAGAAGCCACGCTGGGGGCGCCAGGCTGGCTGCTGCGGGCCTGGCAGCACTCCCAGAGGGGGCCACCGGGGCCTCTGAGGCTGAGACCGACCGACCGACCGACCGACAGACACCCCGAACTCCACGGGCAGCCCTTTGCACCTGCTAACTCTCCCAGCAACCCCTCGTGGCCCCCCCCCCCATTCATCAGTGTGCGGGACCCCAAGGGTGAGCCAGAGTAACCCCCTTCCCAAAGCACCTCCTGCACCGCACCCCACCGAGCATTGTCACGGCATGACTATCAGGCCCAGTTTACAGAGGAGGGTCGAGTTCCAGAAAACTGGCATGACTGGTCCGGGGCTGGTCATTGAAGGTGCCGGGACTTCTACAAGGCCCGGCTTCCGAGTTCCTTACACACACACACACACACACACACACACACACACACACGCTCCCCTCCTAGTCTTGCTCTCACCACAGCCAACTGCCACCACAGTCACTGGGGAAACTGAGGCAGAGAACTCCAGGAGGGAAGTTAGCAGGCAGGACTCTCACTTGGAGATCCAGGCCCTCGGTCGGGGCTGAGTCGTCCTGCGCTCCCCCGTGATCCCCAGCCCCCTGCCCCCCCGTCTATTCTCTGTGTGGTCCAGATCGCCACCCCAGGACGCGGCGGGCAACAAGGCCATCTTCTCAGGCGGCCATCCATCAGCAACATCCTCCCAGGGAGGGGCCACCACCACCCCACACTCCCTTACCGCGGCAGGTCTAGGACCGATCTACCCACAAGGTCTGGACCAGCCTCCCGCCTCCACGCCCGTCAGACTCACAGACCTTTCACAGCTGGTCTTGACCCCCTGCTCCCTCCAGGGGAGAAGCTTCGAAGTGGCAGCCGCCCTGCCCCTGCCCCTAGCAGCCCCTAGCTCTCACTTCGTGCCTCTCCCTCTCCTCAGCCCCACCCCCCTTCTGCTCCCCGGTGCTCCAGCTGAGATCAATTCCTCGGGGTTTGCATTAAGGGAATTGCACCGCTGGTTAGACAGCAGCCTGTAAATCTGCCAGCCATCACCTGGGCGGGAGAGGCGGCGAAGGCAGGCCTCGCCCGGAGCTCCTGTTAACCAGCACAGCACAGCACCTGGAGGACACACTGAGCAGCTCTGCCCACCCAGAGGCAGCTCATCACACACACAGGATGCATGCACACGCACACACACACACACACACACGCACGCACGCACGCATGCACACTCACAGCAAAGGGGGCTGCCGCCACATGACTCCCAGAAACCGGCTCCCCCAACCCACCCTACTCCAGGGGTTTCAGCAGAGATCACCCGCAGCTGGTGTGGCGAAGGGGGCCTGAGCAAGGGTGAGGGGCAGGCTGGATGGGGAGCGAGCACTGCCAAAGCTGCGTTGGCTCGGGGAACCGATGCGGTTTAATTTAGATAATGGTCCCAGCGGTCAGTTGCTATGACGAGTTGGATGGGGTGAGAGTGAAGAGGGGGATACAGGTGGGAGGGTGAGGCACAGAGTGGCCTTGTCGTGAGAGAGGTCAGGCTCAGCGTGACCATTGAGATCCCCCACTGCATGAGAGACTTCTGGCTGGAAAAGGCTGAGGCGCCTTGCACTCACTCCCGGCCTGCCATCCTCTCTACCTCGTTCTCACTGCCCCTATCCCAGGGAAGGAATCATCAGAGACACCTCTGAGACTCTGACCCAGAATCAGGCTAAAATGAGGGGGGAGGGTCTTTCCACAGCCAGGGGGAGGGGCTCCTTTTGGCTTCAGAGACCCCAGCTCCCCATAAGCCCTTCCTCGGTATGGCCTGTGAGTGGTCAGGAGGGAGGGGTGGGGTCTGAGATGTCCCTATGTCCTCTTGGGGCTCTCCGTCCAGGGGCTGAGGGCCAAGGGGTCACTCACTGGGCACCCGGTTAATGGCCCTGAGCGGTCGCAGCACACGGACTGTCCTGACAGCTGAGAAGCTGACGTTCTGCAGGTCCAGCGAATACTCCAGCATCCTGCAGGGAGGGGCCCAAACGGAGGCCCTTTGAGTCTGAGGCCGCCACGGGGGTCAAAAGAGGCCAATGAGGAATCCTGCTGCAGAGGTGCAGCGTGAACTCAGACCCCTCCCCTCCCCACCCAGGGTCCCTGCAGAGGCCACGGACTCAGAGCACAGGCTGGACAGCCTCAGAGCCTTAGTGAACGGGGGTGGGGCGGTAGGAGGTGGGGGGGATGAAAAAGGTGGGGGGAGCAGCACTGTAGGTGGGCTAGGGTGGGGGCCAGGCCTAGGCCTCTGGCTGGAGGGATGGGACTGATCTAATCCATCTCATGCCCACACCCAGCCCAGGATCTCACCCTGCAATAACGATGAAAAAGTCCAACCGGTTCCAAGTGTCTCCCAGGTAACACTTCTTCCCAAAGATGCCCAAGGCCACCATCTTCACCACCATCTCCACGGCAAAGAAGGCAAAGATGAAGTCATCGAAGGCCTGGTGTGGGGACGAGAGGCGGCTGAAACTGAGAAGGGGGTGGGGGAAGATGCCCCACCCCCACCCCATCAGCCCATCAGCGGGGTCAGGGCCTCTTGCAGGGAAGGGGTCAGGGTTATTAGGAGCCCCCCCTCCCCTTCCCCCCCCACACACACACTCACCTGCAGGATCCGGCAGCGCTGGGAGTCACAGGCCATGTCTTCACACGGCCGGAACATGCCCAGAGTCACACAGTTGAGAAGGATGACCAACATGCTGATACGCTCAAACCAGGTAAGCAGGTGGTCAAGGAAACAGCAGGCCAGGGCTGGAACGGAGCCCACGCCCCCACTCCCCACCCCAGTGCCTCCTGCTTCTTGACCTCCCAACCCCATCTGACAGGTGCAACGGGAAGGACCTGGCCCCGTCCCACCTTGGTCACCGCGCCCCTCTGGACCCAGCCTTCCCCCTCTGCAAAGTCAGAAAAGCCATAAATACCCTGACTATTTGCACAAGGCATTTGGGGAATAAAATCGACCACACTTATGGAAATGCCAGGCACCAAGAGTTTGCTGCTGAATCTGAATCCTAGGCTCCCTACCTCCCAGGGAAGATGTGAGAAGCAAATGAGATAATGTATGCGAATGTGTGACACAAACCTAAAGTCAGATCGCGTCTGCCTTACAGTTTACCAAGCGCTCTCACACGGTGCCACACGTGGCGCTCACAGCTCGTCGGGAGGAGCCTGGGGTAGATCGTTTTCTTCCCCAGAACCCGAGGAAACCGAGGCTCGGAGAGCCAGCGTCCTGTGCTCAAGGTCACAAAAGAAGCCAGCACGAGACAGGTTCAAGCATGCAGGGAGAGGGCCGTCATGGCCACACTGGCACCAGACAGGCAGGCAGAGGCAGCCAGGAGGGTCCACAGCTTCGCACAGCACCAGAGCCCACAGCTGCCTCTTCCACCACCAGCCCCCCGGCCTCTCAAAGATCTCAGATGGCCCCTAGACACAGTCACATGTTAAATCATGAGCCCCCACAACACACCATGCCCTGAGCTGGACACAAGCCCCAGCCTGTGCAGAGTGGACAGTAAGTATCCTGCACACATAGACCAGGCCACCATCACACCTTCTGTGGCTTCCAGCAAAGCCCTAGCCCGGACCAGCTAAAACCGACCCTGTTTTGCAGAAATGGGGAGAGGAGTCTTTCTAAAACCCGATTCTTTCCACATCGTGTATTTCATTAAGGGACTCACCTCCAGCCCATCAGCAAGAGACGCATGAAATGGTCTCTGGATCTTAGAAGGTTCTGGACAAGCAGCCTATTTTTCCCCAAGGAAAATATGAGAGGAGTGGGCAAGAGCAAAGAGGCTGGAAACAAGCAGAGGTTGGGGTCCAAGGGATGGAGGCAGGAAAGGTCTGCTCCCAGCATGACCCCCAAGCCAGAAGCAGGCGGGTAGAGAGGGCTCAGAAGACACAGGACCTTCCTGTTGTCACTCCACTTCTAGAGTGAGAAGCCTTTGACCAAGACTCAATGACTCTCTTCCCAGCTGAGCCTGGCCACACCCCATCTCTGTCCTGAGCCTGACCATGCCCCCTCACTAGGAGCCCATGACTCCCTCATCCCTCCATAGCCCTCCTCCCCTCCTGTCAGCCAGACCCTCTTCTCATCACTTCCCTCCATCAGATACTCAACTGTCCCCCGACACTGCCATTTCCCTACCCGCCACCTCCTCTCAAGAATAAAAGTTAGAAGAAAAAAAAAAGTTCTAGGTTTCTGGGGTAAGTAGATGGAAGTGGGAAATAAAAAGTGTTGTTTCCATGGAGCTGTTTTCCTGAGTGGAATTGGAGCTGGAGCCCAATGTGACTCTCTCCAGGATAGGGGTCAGCCAGGGGTCACCCTGGAAAAGGGGGGACAGGGAGGGAGCTCCCCTGGGGCTATCATCCGGAAAAGGAAAGACACAATTACTCTCAAGACTTGGTCTGCTTTCTCCAAGCTAGCCCCCTCTCTTCTCCTCTGCAGGGAAAGGACCACGTGAGCAGACACCCCTGCAGGGGGGAAGGCAGGTAGTTCAGGGAAGAATGGCTCCTGGGACACCTGTGAACCCCTCTAATGGCGGTGGCACCACCCTGTCATTCTCTTCACCTACCTCGTCTCCCTTGCCAAGGCAGGGGCGCTCTGCTACAGCTTTATATCCCCCACAAAGCTTAGCGTAGTGCCTGTCATATAGCAGATGATCAATACCGGGAAGGAAGAAATGAATGAATCAATGAATGATTGAGTCAATCAACTGGTCAATCTCCCTGCCTAGGAGCTAGATGCATTTCCCCATTCATGTTTTCCTGCCTTACTTGCCTTGATAACCAAGGCGGTAGCTGGGGTGGAGAGGGCAGAGGTACCATCGGGAGCCGTCCCTCCTGTCCCTGCTTTATGCGTGCTCACACCCGGGCCTCTTGTAGCCAGATACTCCAAATACTGCCTCCAAATACCCCCATCTCCAGCTCTTAACCACAGGAGCCCCTTCTCAAGAGCCCCCTTAGCAATTCAGCTCATTCCCAGCTACATCCTGCTCTCTCTCTGCTTCTCTCCTCTCCCTACAGATAAACATACCTGGACAGGGAAGACACCAAGGCACAGAAAAATGTGGGACAATCTGAATTAAGGAATAATTAATGTGACTTTCACCTTTCTCAAAGTAGGGCTTGTTTCCTTGGGAATATAGCCGTATGCCACTGTGTGATGTTCCTCTGTTGCCATAACAACAGGAGGATGTGTCACCAGGTGGTGTGGATTTGTTGCCATGGTAATGAAAAGGACCCCCTCACACATGAACTCCCCTTATCTAGGCTGCTGTCTAGTCCTCAAGCAGGGAAGGAGAAGCAGGGAGACCCACAGGTTATCAACTTGGGGGGGGGGAACCATGTGACAGATCTCCATAGCAACCAAGAGAACGGGGGACACTGGTTGCTATAGTGACTATGAGAGACCTGTGCAGTCACATGTCTACTGTTGCTATGGTGACTGTCCGGGCTGGAGTGGATCCCAAAGGGAGAAGTGGGTAAGAGAGGGGAGGATCTTTCCTCTCCTCACAACCCACCATCAAAAGCAGAGAAAAGGGAAATGGCAGGGCCAGGGACCCCACTTCCACGGCTCCTCCTCTTCTCCCTCCAGGAGAGGGAACTAGAGCATGTTATCTGCACAGCCGAGTCCTCTCTGTGGGGCTTTGTCTCAAGCCCTTGCCTAGCCTGGCAGCTGTAAGGGAGAGGGAGGTGAGGGAGGAGGGAGGGGGCTGCGGCACCTCCAGAGGCCCGGGGGGTCTAAACAGGGCACCACTGAGAGGGGAGCAAGTCCTCCAGCGCCCATTCCCCACTAGGAACCTGGAGATTGGAAACGGAGGAGCCGGCCTGGACCCAGGAATCCTGGCCTCCTAGCAGTTGGTAGGAAGGCAGGGTGCTGTTCTCAGCCGCTGCGTGGAGAGGCTGGGGTCTATAGCAGTCAGCCTCCCCCAGGGCTGAGGTGGAATAAAGGGGCTCAGCAGCAAGGCTCCCGCTAAGGAAGGCAGACAGGGGGATTCCCCGCCGAGCCCCCCACTCCCACACGCCTGCCTCCCAGTGGTCTCCCCGCCGCCGCTCCAGCATGTGGGTGTGCGGGGAGAGAGGCTTCCAGCTGAACTGAAAACTGAAGCCTGAAGAGAGGCAGCCGGCCCCACCCAGAGACAGAGACGTGAGGCAGAGACGCAGAGGGCCGGCCTGCTGGAATCTGTGGAGAGGAAATAGGCCAGAAATCCGATTCAAACGTCTGTGACTGCGTGTGCGTGTGCGTGTGTGTGTGTGTGTGTGTGTGTGTGAGCAGTTGTGTCTGTCGCCATCCTGGCTGAGGCAGGCAGGGTGGGGTGAGAGCAGGCGAGGGGTAAGGGGGGCTGTGTGGTGGGGGTAATCCCAGGAATGGCTCCAACTGGCACTGTGGGTGATGGGGAGTCCCCCAACAGTTCTGTGGAGCAGAGGGGGGGGGGGTGACCCAGAAGGAAGGTGTGCCTGGGACAAAAAGAGGTGCTGCCCCCGCCCCCCCCGCCGGCATCCCCCCAACCCGTCCTATTCAGTTCCTTAACCCCAGCCCTTCTCGCCAGAACCCCTCTGGAGAACGTTGGATTTGAACATGGGAGGACGACATTCGTGAAGAGACAGAAAGAACGCCAAAATGGAGATTTCTCCCCAGGTAGGAGGAACAGGCAGACTTGGGGCGCTGGGGCAGCAGCAAGGAAAGCTCCAGAAACTCCAGGCGCCCCCTCCCCTCCCCTTCAGACGCACACGCTCAGACACACACAGTGACGCAGCCGCACACTCACACTGGCTTCTGGAAGCCATTAGGGTTCCTGCCCGTCCAGGCCTCCCCGTTCTCCTCCCCCCACTCCTGGCAGGCTCCCCTCTCCCCCCCCCCCCGGGTCCCCCCTCCCCCTCTCAGCATCCCAAATGCCAGCCTGTGATTTCCAAATGAGAAAAAGCTGTGCTGGGCTCTGAGCTTGGAGAAACTCCTACACAAACTTCCAGATGTGACACAACAGCCGGGGAGGGAACGAACGCTCAGGATCTCCGTCCCGGGCGGGGAACGCGCCCTCACACTGAAGAAACACACACTGGGGAGTCCACCACACGCCCCTGGAACCTGGGGGGAGGGTGGCCTTTCCGACTGTGAACTGGCAGTCTGGAAGCACCCCTGGCCTCCCCGGTACCCACACATGAACTTCCCAGCCTCTCTTCCTTCTGCTGCCCCCTCCTTCCCCAACACACACACACACACACACACACACACACACACACACACCACTCTCTCCCTTCCTTCTACCTGGATCTAGATCTCCCTCTAGGAAACCTGGTCTCTGAAAGGCCAGGGGAGCAGGGCACGGAGAGGAATGCCCCGGAAGAGCCTCCAAGAGCCTCGCTAGCTCCGTTACTTGGGGGAAGGTGTCCTCGGGCCCCGCGGGGCCAGAGGTGGCAGAGAGAAGCCTTGTGGCGTCAAGGGGAGCTTCCCAGAAGCCAGAGAGCCAGAGAGGGGGACGCTGAGGCCCAGGGCCGGTCCAGAGCACCTCTGGCAGCAACAGCATGGGTTTCTCTCGGCACTCGGGTGTCACGGGGGTGGTGGGGGCACACTCAGGCAGCCCACTTGCCAAGAAACTGTCCTCGACCTGTCCTCAGCCAGTCTAGCCAAAGCGGCTTGTCCAGACCGAGGGATGCCGAGCCGTACCCCCTGGACTCCCACCACCCCAGAGGAAAGCTTGCTTTCCGACCCCCAAGACAAGCACTGGGCGCCACCTCTCTTCTCATTCCAGTCCTGCCCACTTGCCCCCTCCCAGAACCCCTCAAGGAAGGAATCCCCCCCCCCCCATCCACTAGCACCTGGAGGTAGGGAGATGCTAGCCAAGAGTTGGGTTTTGTGAAGGGGGAGGGCAAGGGAAAAGACCAGGACCCCTGAGAAGGAGGGGCTGGGGCTGGGGCTTCCTCCCGTTCCTGAGGAGTGTGGGTAGGTAAGGGTGGAGAGGAAGGGTGCCCAGAGCCCACCCTTCTCAGGGACATCTCCATCTCTGAGCAGAGAGAGGGGCCTGGGGACAGGGGGTGGGGGCGGAGGAGCGTCAAGAGCCCAAGACTCGCCTACTCAGCAGGTTCCCAGACCTCTGAGGCCCCCACCTCTCTCTCCCTGCAGCTCAGAGAGAAAGGGAGAAGAGGCAGGGCATGGAAAAGGGGTGTTCTGAGGGGAGCTTCCTAAAACCCCCGGGGTGGGGGGTACAGGATGGGGGTTGGGGGAGACCCAGGCTCACATCCCCACTTTGCGCACTAGAGGCAGCAGAGCTGCAGAGAGCGAGGGCGGCACCGAGCTTCCCCTCCGCCTCCCACCCCTGACTTCCCCAAAGCAGAGTCCCCGCGGGGCTCTCAGGGGTGACGGGGAGACCCGCAGTCCCCCGCGCTGGGTCCACGAGAGCCCCTGAGCCGGGGGGAGGGAGCGGGGAGACGCTGCCAGGGTCTGGGATGGCAGCGCGCTCTCTCCCCTCTCCTTCCGGCAGCGGCGGTGGGACCCACCCGGGAGCCGGGAGCCTGGCCTTAGCCAAGCGGCACTTTGTGCCAGGGGCTCGGGGAGAGAAGCCGTGGGGATGGGGGGGCTGGGGTCTCCCATTCCACTTCACACTGGGAGGAGGACAGGGAGGGGGGCAGCGCGACACTGTCCCCCTGGAATGCGGGGCTTGCATTCCACCACCCTATCCAAGGAGTAGACGCCAGGGTGGTGGACCCCAGCCTCCTAGGGAACTGGCCTGCGGTCTCAGCCCTCCGCCCGCACCCCGGCACTGCCCTGAGGAGCTGTGGTCCCCCCTGCCTGCTCTGCGACCCAGCGGGAGCACTCTGGATGAGCGAAAGGGGATGGATAACTTAAACCGGCTTCCTCCCATCCCCCGCTTGCCAAGGCTGTCGCCACAGTCTTTCCCTCCACAAGAAAAAACCCAGCACAAAACTCCCAACCCAACCAGCCCCAAGCACCCCGCGTTGAGGAAGGGCTGTGGGGCAGGGCGGCCCGGGGCGCGGGCTCCCCCGGAGGGGTCTCCGCTCCGGCTCCGGGGGCAGACAGCTCCCCCTCCACCACATCTTGTTCTCATTCTGCGCCCCTGACATCAGCCGCCGCCGGAATCTCCTTGTTGTGCCTCCAACCCGCGGGGTGGGGGTGGGAGCGGGGGCGGGAGGGTTAGGACCTGGTCCCCGTCCCCCCCCCCCCCCATTTCCCCCCTCTGGGTCAGTAAAAACCTCAGCCTCAACCACCAGGTTTGGGTGGGGAGGGTGGATCAGACCTTAGAATGCACTGCAAACTTTGGGGGGGGGGCGGTCAGAAGGGAAACCCAGGAGATTGCGGTCCCCCTCCCCCGTCATCGCAGCTTCCTTCCCCACCCCACCCCCCAAACTCGGAAACCGAACCCAGCTCGCTAACCGGCGGCGGCGGGCGGAGCGGAGCGCCCAGGCTCCCCGAGATTCCCACATCTGGAGGATGCCGACCCTCCCCTGCCCACATCTGGAGAGCATCCAGCTGCAAACCCTCTCCTTTCCCGGCCCGAACCCCAGCCCCCAAGGAGGTCTGAGGTGTGTGCGCCGAGGTGGGGCTCGCCAGGGCGCCTGCCAAACCCGCCCGAGCCTGCGCTCCCCTCCGGCGCCCCCTCCCCTCCTCAGCAGCCCCCCCCCCCCATCCGACCGCCTCCCAGGCTTCTTCTCCGGACTCACCTGGCTCCGGGTCCCCTCCGGGCGCGGCCCGCCCCCCCGGGCCCCCGCCTGGCCGTCGCGGCCGGAGGATATGGGTTACAGACCGTGCGGAGGCACCAGCTCCGCGGGCGGCTGTCCTGGCTCAGGTAGAAGAAGACCACCGGCGCCAGCGCGGGGTACGGCAGCCCCTCCGCCTCCGAGTCCGCGCTGCCCGGGTCCCTCTCCGCCGACCCCGGCCCCGGCCGGCCGCCGGCCCCCGACAGGTCGTTGAGCCGCAGGAAGCCTCGGGGCTGCCCTGACTCCTCGGCGCCCGCTCCATCCTCCTCCTCGTCCATCCTCTGGCCGACCGGGGCCCCGGGCGGTCTGGAGAGGGGCGAGCGGCGCCCCTCGGAGGGGGTGTCCTCACGCAGCCGGGGGGCCCCGGAGGGGGCGCATCGGGGGGGCTCTAGGGCGCAGGCTGAGCCCCCGGGAGGGCCAGTTCAGCCCAGCTCCCCCTGCCCGCAGGGGCATGCTGCCCGCGGGGCGCCGGGTCGCTGGGGAGCCCCGCCCGGCGCAAGTTCCGCTACCCCAGGGCCCCGAGGGCCCCCCCGGGCCGGCCGGCCGGCTCCCCCTCACTTTGTTCCGGCTTCTTCGCTTCGCGCCTAGGCTCCGGGCGCCCGATCTGGCTCTACCTTCGGCGAAGCGGCCCCGATAGAGGAAGCGAGAAGGGGGGGCGCAGGGCGGAGGGCGGAGGGAGTGGGTCCGGTGAGGGGCGCCCCCTCTTCCCGCGCCGCGGCTGGAGCAGGATCTAAGGGGTCAGCATCGTCCCGGCTCCGCGCCAGAGACGGCGGGGGGGAGGGGAGGAGGGATCTCTTTGGGGTGGGTTTGGAGCGGGTGGGGGCCGGCCGCTTCCTCCACCCCGCGGCGGGCTCCCGGTCCGGGAGAGGCGGGGAGACCGCGGGGGGCAGTCCCTGGCGGGGGTGGAGGCGGAGATGCCGATGCCGCCGCAGCCGCCGCGCGGTGGCCGCCGCTGCCGTAGCCTTCGCCGGCGCCACCGCCGCCTCCTCCGGCCGTGGAGCCGCGGAGCGAGCGGGCGAGAGCGGCGGCGAGGAGCGCGGCGCCGCCACAGCTGGATCCCTCACTCCAACTTCAAGCCTCGGCCCCGCCTCCCCAGCCAGCCGCGCAGCCAATCGCCGCGCGCCGCCGGCCCCGAGCCGCCCGCCCATTGGCCGGCCGCAGTGGCAGTGCGGGCGGGGGCGCCCCGGGAGAGGACCACAGCTGGAATCCGGGTCCCACCCCGCAGCCCGGGACCGCCCCTCTCTCCTCCTCTCGGCCCCGGGTCCGTTCCCCCCGAGGCCGGGGCCAATGAGACGGCCCCCCAGACCGAACCCACTTTCCCATTGGCCGCGGGGGTCTCCGGGACTCCCCTGGAGGAAGCCCAGGGAAATCGGAGTATTTGGCGCGGGGTCCTGGGGTGGCGCCTTCTTTGTCCAAGACCCTTTAATTGGACTGTAGCCAGGGGGCGGGGCCCAGCTCTGGGCGGGTCTGGGGGAAAGGGGGGGGGGGGCAGGCGACCTGGGGTGTGGGGCGTGACCTGGTTCCCAGACCGAAATCTAAGTATCCCCCCGACTAATCGCCCACCCTGGAGTAGAGCCTGAGCGGGACTGGGAAGGAGAAGAGCGGAACAGGGTGTCCCGGGCGGTGGGCTTCAGGCTGGAGGGAGCTAGTCTGGGGAAAACCGAAAGGCTGGGGTGGGCAAAGTCTGGGCGTGGCCTCTACCAGCCTCTCGGACTTGATCTAGTCCCAGGCCTCTTTGACCCTGATCTCCTAACCTTCACCCGCTGACCCTGACCTCACATGGACACTCTCGAGCTTCATTTCCTCTGCCCCCAGGGATCCTGTGGACGGCGTGCATTCCACGCGGGAGCTTTGCCCTGGACCACGTGGCCCCAAGCAGGTCATGCTGGACCCAGAGCCTCTCCCCAAAAGCAGCTGCGAAGCAGAGACAGGCTCCTGCGAAGGGACCTGGGGTCGGGGGATGGGGGAGGGGAGGGGGGAAAGGCTCAAGTGTGGAAGCCCAGAGCTGGGCTTTGCTGACTCTTAAACTGCAAAGTTTCGCCAACCTGCCACTCCGTGCCTCAGTTTCTCCCTCTCAGGTGCCAATGTGGTTTATGGGGAGCCTGCAGGCAGGACAGGAGCTTCGTGGGGCTGCTCTCCTCGCACGTCTCCCACCTGCCAGGAGCGGGTCCGCCTCTCGGGCAGCCCCCAGCCCCCACCTGGCCTCACCTTCCCGATTCACCTGCCCGAGCTCAGGCAGCCCCAGCCTGCTCGCCGCCAACTCAAAAGTCTGTGGGTACCCGTGAGCAGAGCGCCAGGGAGTGCTGGGTGCTGGGTGCCGGGTGCTGGGGGCGGGGGGGGGGGGGGCGGGGAGAGCACCGAGGACTAGCGGTCAGGAGGCGCTCTCCCACTTGGGCTAAAGGTAGACCGGGAGGAACAGAGCAGGTCAGTCTCCCAAGCCTTCGGGATGCGCACACCGCTGCGGAGAGGCAGAGGAACGGACCAGATGACCTCCGGCTCCCGCTCTCCCCTCCCCCACTCCCGGGCGGTCCGGGCTCCCGCAGCCCCCGCACGCCTTCCTCCGCGCCGGGTGGGTTGGGGGGTCTCAGCTCCGACCCCGGCGGGTTGCGCCGGGTGCGGCGGGGAAGGCCCAGCGGCGGCTGCGCCTCCGCCACCCCGTTTGCCCTTTCTCCGAATCCCCGCACCGAGTTGTGCAAATGAGGCCGGGCTCATTTGCATTTCATGCTAATGAGCAGATCCCTTCAGCGCCTCTCCCTCCTGGCGGGAGTCTCTGCTCTCATTCTGCGTGTGCCTGTGCCGGGCCAGAGTCTTGAACTCGCAGCGGTCTTCTGGGAGAGGGGCCTATTTATGGTTGGCTCCACGTGTCTGACACCTTCCTCCCTCCCGCTGGTCCGCAGTCTGCCAGGTCTGCCTGCCCTTTGCTCCGGACCGGCTCGTTGTGACTCTAATCAGCCCCTCTTTGCAAATGGGGGAAAACGAGGCCAGAGAGGTTTGGTCGTGTTTCCTGGTGGCCAGCAAGCTCAACACCTTCACCCACCAGCCAGGCCACCCCGTCTCTGGGCCCAACTCTGTTCTAGAACATATCCAAAGCAGAAAGAGGGTGGACATAGGCACCATCTGAACGAATCAAGACCACATTTACTTCCCTGGGCGAGGGGCCTGGGGTGATGGCCACCGAAGCATCCTGGTCTATGTTCATGGCACCAGGGCTCTCTCACACCCGCCACCCCTCTGGGATGCTCCCTGTTAGCCTGAGGGAGGCAGGGGAGAGGCGAGGCGGAGCCCATAGAAAAGGCAAAGGAAACCTTGAAACCATCTTGAACTCCCACGGTCCACGCCTCAGCTCTGACATCACCGCCTCTGAGTGGACTCCTCTCAGCAGCTGTGTGGTGCCAAGGTGCAGAGGACACGACGCTGAGCTGTGCGGAGTCTGGAACCCGCGGCACTCGGTCCGGGCTGGAGATCCATGGCTGTGTTTGTAGTAATAAAACGATTCTCTCTCCCTCTAGCCTCCCATATCCCCTGAGGGCAGGGCCATGTCCATTTTGCTCACCGGGTCTAATCTAATGTTTGGCAGACAAATAGGTACTTCGTATCTATTGTGTTAGATGAAAGAGTGACTCTCAGGCAGGGAGAGGGGATGAGAGGAACAAGACATTCCTTTTTAGGGGGGCTTCGGTTTCCCAACAAAGAAGTTTGGCTTAAGTGGTACCTAAGCTTTCTTCTGAGTTTGAGGGAGCACCCCCATACAGGCACTGCTCTGCCAGCGGCCCCTCCAACCCCACCCCTTCCGCCTCCCTCACAGCCTGGCCGCTTCCTCAGGAACCCCGGATCATCTCCCCATCTGTGATGCTCTCCGCTCAGCAATGATGCACTGTCCCATTTAGTCACCTCGCAGCCTTGGGAGTTGGGTGGTGGTTGTCCCATTTTTTACGTAAAGAAACCGAGGCGCAGAGAGATGAAATTAACTTCGGCGACCGCCCAAACCACGAGGCCCTGTCTCCGGTGGTCCTGGCCCTCCGCGCCTCCAGGACAGTCCTGCCCACAGAGCAAGGAGCATAGCCAAGAGGGACCAGCATGAAGGAGAGGGGGTACAGACTTAAAATCCCTTGCCCTCTTTAGAAAAGGCAAGCACTCCCAGAGAACTGGCCCTTTAAGGCCCCAGCGCCTTCCTCTGAACCCATCTACAGAATCCAGGTGCCTGCCTGGTGTGCCCGAGGAAGGAAAAGCAGACACACAGAGCAGAAGGGAGACCGGAAGAGGGGACAGGAGACACCAAACGCACCCTCCCTCACGGCTGGTCTGAGTGGTCTTTATTGTATCTCGAAGGCCCGAGAAAGAACCAGACGTGTGGAGCCATCTCAGGCCGATCTCTTAGCCTCTCTGGGCCTTGAATATCTATCCGGAGGCCGAAGTACTCACCTTGCCACCTCGTTCATGAGGGTCAGTGGGATGACAGAGACAAGAGGACTTTGCCAACCGCCTAGCCCTAGACCTTTCCAAAGCCAAGGCCGGGGATGCCAGAAAGGCCACCTGTGCTTCACAACGCTCCACCCCCTTCCTCGCTGCCCCCAGACCAGGCTGTCTTTGCCCAGCCCTCAGATTTCCTGGCAAGGCTGGGCAGGCTCCAGCCGGAAAGGGGACAGCTGACCTTGTTGGCCGGAGCCCTAATCCCCTCCAGATGGGCCGGTGGCTTGCACAGAGGGCCGAGCTGCCCGGATAAACCCTGTTTCCCAGTGACCATGTGTGGCTGTGTGTGACCGTGCCCAGGGGGCGGCCAGGGTCCTCAGCAGACCTTGCTGCAGTGACTCAGCCCCGTCTCCAGCTCCTTCATGTCCCACTCCTCCCACGGCTGGCATCCCCACAAGCAGTGGCCACACTCGGGTCTGGTGTCCAGCAGCTCCTCCTGGCTATCTGTGCTGTTGGCTCTGAGGCTACTAGGCTCTGCAGACTCCTGAAGGTCAGGGTAGGGGGACAGCTCCGTCCCCTCCTCCCCACCTGTCCGCCCCCTCACCCTACACTTGCCCTTCCCAGAGCACAATTCCTAGTGCCCTCCACATGGCTGGAGCTAGATGGGGTTCCTGGGGCCTGTGAAGGGGTAGGGGCCAAGAAGGTGACTTGTGAGGATCTGCCAACATTGAGGGGACAGGAGGGGGTGGTGGGAAGGCACCAGCTTTCCCTGCAGCAGGAAGGACTCTGAATTGGAGAAGGACTTCCAACTCAATAGAGGCTCCAAGCGAGAGGAACTCTGTCCCCCGCCTGGAGGTGTGAAAGCAGAGAGATGGACCCTGTGACATCCTGCAGAAAGGCTTGGCTCCATCGTGGTGAGGCTGAGGGCTGGGTGGACACCCCAAAAGGAATATCCTTGGTCCTGCTAACAGCAGCTCCCACAATGTGCCATGTGCAAACGTTGTCATTTCATGGAAAATAGAAGTTAGTATAAAGCATCTTCCTGCCCCTTCGCCAGCTTAAGAGGGGATGATGGGAAGCAGAGGGCAGACTCCTTGCTCAGCCCCACCTAAGGGCAAGAGCTGGCCTTTCCCCTCCTGGGCAAGTCCTCACTCCACCCCACACCCACTGGTGATGACTGGTCCCCTGGCCTCGATTTTATCCAGACCACAAGGACTGTGGCCAGGGGCAGGGTGACCTCTGAAGGTGAAGGAGGAATTGGAGAAGGCAGAGGGGTCAGTTCAGGGATCCCAGGAGGAGGGGGCCTGGCTGCTAGGCCTGGGCTGGAGCCTGAGGCCCCTCTCTCC